ACAGGAGTGTTCATAGCAGCATTATTCATAACGTCGAAGCATAGAAATAACTTATTTTTGCCAGTGAATAAAAAAAATGTAGTATAACCATGCAATAAAATAGAAATAATAAATCTCTCACCTGAGGTCGGGAGTTCAAGACCAGCCTGACCAACATGGTGAGAGCCCATCTTTAAAACAAATTAAAAAAATAAACATTAAATCTTTTTTTCTCTAATCTAGTAAACAAATTACTGATGCATGCTACAACATAGATGAATTTTGAAAACATTACACTAGGTGGGAGAAGCCAGACACAAAGGATTGTATGATTCCATTTACATGAAATATCCTTAATAGGCAAATCCGTAGAGACAGTTTGTAGATTAGGGTTGCCTAGGAGTGGGCAGTGATTTGGGAGTGATGGCTAAGGAGCGTGTCGAGTTTTCTTTTTGGGGTAATGAAAATGTTCTAAATTGATTGTGGTGCTGGTTGCACAATCCTGGGAGGGAGTATACAAAAAGCCATTGAAATGTATGCTTTATGTGGGTAAATTAATGGTATGTGAACTTTATTTCAGTAAGGCTGTTACCAAAAAATAACAGAAATAAATGAAGAAAGGTAAATAACTATCTTATTTTATGCAATTCTGAATTCACTCAAGAATTCAAAATTCCCAAGTAGTCTGAACAGTTGAATTAAAGTTTCATGATTAATTTAAATACTGTTTTTAAAAATAGATTAACAATTATATTTTGTAAATGGTGTATTATAAAGATAATTAAACCATAGATTTACCAGAATGTTGATGTACTTTGGCATGGGGAATACCTTTATGTGCATTAGACTAACACGAACTTGAAATGATAGCTTTGTCTACATAAACACGAAACAACCTTTCAGTATGTGAGCATCAAAAACAAAATAAAAACGCAAATGCTGCAATAAAAAAAATTGTAACATAGAAGACAAAGAACTATCCTTAAAGGAGCTCATAAATAAATTTTTGAAAAAAGTTAAATTCTCTGAGAGAAATTGGGCAAAACAGATGAACAGACAGTGCACACAAGATTACAAATTAAAAGGGGAAAAAAGCATTTGACCTGGGTTTACCCCCATGTGTGATATACAATGTTGTTTATAGAATTCTTCCCTATGAGGGATATTAACTCTATTTGGTTTCAGGTTATAACAACAGTAACAGAAAAGACATTAGGAAAACTGAAGAGTAGTTCTTCATGTTCACCGAGGGCCTTTTCACATCAGATAGTGACTACTTGATGAATGTGATGCCCTTGTCATCCCTTCCTCTCTCCTCCGTCACTCGGTGGCAGCTTCCCCTCCTCGCTGTTTCCTTCCCTACACAATCTCACACCCTCATTCTTCCTTGCCTATTTCAGCAGCCTCCTAACTCACCTCCCTGCCTTTTGGTCCCTTCCCACCTAGTCCATCTTCTGGGCACCCAGAATCATTGCTCTAAATGAGTCAGAGTAACTGTTTTTCTTATTTATTAAAAATCTCAGCTGCCTCTGCATTGCATAGAGCACAAACTTCAAGACCTGCAAAGCTGTCTTCTCATCCTATGTACATTTCCAACCTCATCTCTTACTCCCTTCCCCCAGCACGTTATTCTCTAGCTCTGCTCAGCGACAGCGAAGCTTTCCCATTGCCAAGCCTTTCTTCTCACATGCAGTTCCTTCTGCCTTTACTCCCTAGCCTTCAGCACCCAGCCACCTGGAGTCTATTACTCCTCCAAAATATTAAGTGGTTGATTATAGCCCTGTTTTTCCTGCAAGGCTTCAAGTTAAGAGATGAGGACATGTCTTACTCATCCATATATCCCCATCACCCAAAATTATCAGAAACATGGTAAGTGTCCAATAAAGGAACAAATCAACTTTTGTTTTTGTTTTTCAGAGTATGAAATATTTTTGCACTGCTGAAACAAACACTCTCATGGAAATTTCATAGTGCTAGACTGTAAAAATTTTAGTCTTAATTTTTTTTTGATTAAGAAAAACACCAGAAATAAAATTATACACAGCAGTACATGATTTATTTACATGATTTAGTTTTAAAAGCAAAATTTGAAAGCTTGCTAAAATGAAATCAACTTGAGTTTGATTTTAAAATTTTGACTCAAGATTTAAAACTTTGCTGTCTTTGGTTTTATACTTATTTATATCAAGGTGCTTCTGAGCTGGTAGAATCCCTGTGAAAACCCATGAGTTTTGCCCAGATGGATGAAATGCTTGCTGTTAGTGAAAAGCCCCTGTTCAGATGAGTATTGCTAAGGCAATATTTGGGATGCATCAGGCAACTCTCTGGAAACCAATGGCCCTGCCATGAGGGTTAAAAATATGCCACAGAGCAGAGGAAAGTGAGGCTGTGTGAGAATCTAGACTAGGCAGCCAAACCCTATAGCAGGGAAAAAACACAGTTACAGAGTAGGCTTTGCTTCACCTCCTATCTTTTTCTTACCCCCTCAGTATAAATTTATTTCAACAAAAGAATGAATGAATATGTTGAAACTTGCCTGTTAAAATTCTGAAGACTTTCCTAATGTGGCAGCAAAATATACTGGGCTCTCTTATCCACTGTTGCCTTTGAAGAAGTTGTTCTAGCTTGAGGTAAGTGTTGAAGAGACGGTCAGAATACAGAAAATCCACCAGTGCTATTGATCTGGATGGAAAGTGGGTATTTTTTAGGACTTCACACCAGCATATCCATGGTATTTATTCATTCATCAGTATTTACTTGTTGCCTAACATGTCCAGTTTCTGTTCTAGGAGCTGAGACACAGCTATTGAATGAAAACAAACTACTGGAAGCTTATATTCCAGTGGGAGAGACAGACAGTAAACGAATATGCCAGCTGGTATGGGGGCTACGAAGAAAAACTCAGCAGGGTAGGGGGAGCAGAAAATGTGAATGTGCAGGGGAAAGAGGTTGCTGCTTCACAGAAGTAGCCCAAAAAAGGTGACATGCAAGCAGAGACCTAGAGACGAGGCAGTGGGCAATAGATACCCAGGAAGAGCATTCCCAAGACAGAAGCATTAGCAAGTGATGCCAGGGAGGCTTGGCACAGTCAGGGAATGAGAAAGGAAGCACATGGCAGAAAACGTAGCACGGGGGCAGAATGCGGGGTACCTCATGAACCAGTGCAAACAATTTGACTTTTACTGAGCAAGATGGAAAGCCATTGCAGAGTTTTGAGCAAAGACTGTGCAGTAGTAGCAGTTTTACATTTTGAAAGGATCACTGTGGCTGCTGCTCGAGAATTGACAGTAGAAAATGAAGAGGAAGCAGGAAGACAATTTAGGAGGCTGCTGCAATAGTCCAAGTGAGAGAGAATGGTGAATCAGAGCAGCCTTCCTGCAGTGGAAAGTGGCTGGATTCTGGCGACAGTCTGGAGACGGAGATAACAGGACTTATTACATCCACCTCTGGGTGTAGCAAGACTGGAGGGTGAAGGTGTGCCATTCATCTTCATTACTTGCCAATTCTGTACTTGTGAACACTTGCAAAATTTCATTCTCATAAAATGTACATGTAACCCACAAACCAATACTTGTGGTATTTAGTCATTTGCTGACATGCAGAGTGGTGAAAGTTTTGAGTACCCAGAGAGGCACATGTTCCCAGCTGAGGTTGAACAAAGTGACACTGTAGTTTCAGCTCTCACACTATAAATGTGTTCTTGTAGTCTATCTTGTGCCATTTATTTTTGTATTTTTCTTAGTGATTTTACTATTTAAAATGGCACCCAGGTGTAGCACTGAAGTGCTGTTTAACATTCCTAGGCACAAGAGGGCTGTGATGTCAGCACTGTGGGAGGTTGAGGCAGGAGGATCGCTTGAGGCTGGGAGTTTGATACCAGCATGGAAAACATGAGCCCTTCCCTGCTCGCTGTCTTTACAAAAAAAATGCTATTTAGTATTGTTCCTAAGCATAAGAGGGCTGTGATGTCAGCACCTTGGGAAGTTGAGGCAGGAGGATCACTTGAGCCTGCAGTATGATCACACCACTGCACTACAGCCTGGGTGACAGAGCAAGACCCAGTCTCAAAAAACAAAACAAAGATTGAGGTAAAGAGTTGTTGGCTGAGTTCTATATTAATGAATCCACAATATACATTACATGCATTAAATAAGGTGTCTTTAGGTAGTAACACACACACAAAACAGATTATGTACTAATCCGTTGATAAAAATGTGACCAGTGGCTTTTAGGACCCTAACGCAGTGCGTTCCCTAGGTGCAAAAGTTCAGTATTTGCTAACTTAGCTTTTGTGGTGGTGACTTTTTAGAACACAACTACCACAAATAACATGAACCAGCTGTACAGAGTATAAAAGTAATTTAGAAGTTCAAAAAAGTGCTGCAAAGAGGACTCAGAAATACCTTAGTCTGTAAAGGAAACTACAGGCTGCATTTTTTTTTCCCCCCGACAGTCTTGCTCTGTCGCCAGGCTGGAGTGTAGTGGCACAATCTCGGCTCACTACAACCTCTGCCTCCTGGTTCAAGCAATTCTTCTGCCTCAGCCTCCCGAGTAGCTGGGACCACAGGTGCGTGCCACCACGCCTGGCTAATTTTTGTATTTTTAGTAGAGACAGGGTTTCACTATGGCCAGGATGGTCTCAATCTCTTGACCTCATGATCTGCCTGCCTTGGCCTCCCAAAGTGTGGGGATTACAGGCATGAGCCACCGTGCCCAGCCAGAAGCTGCATTAAGAAAATCTGCAATGAAGAATTAAGCTGGAATACCATATCTGATTGACAACAGCCGAGAGAAGGGCAAACTATGGCTCAGTGCGTGGGTTCTCATCCTGGCTGATGAAAATCACCTGAAGAGTTTAAAAAAATGTTACTGAGTTCCACCACAGAGCTTGAGTTGAAATGGCATTACAAGTTGCAAAAGCTTGCTAGGTGATTCTAAACTAATGTGTAACAAAAAGTTCTTAAAGCTTTATTTAGCATTCCTAAGAATCACATGCAAAGCTTGTTAAAAATATTACTGGGTTCCACCCTCAGAGGTATTAACGCAGATCTCAGATGGGACACCAGAATCTGTGCAGGTGATGCTCGAGCACTATGGCTACATGTTAAGTAGCACTGCCCTGTATCACTTCTATCACGAAGCCACAGAATCCCAAGGGAACTCATGTTGAAAAAAAACCCAGCAACGGAGCTCTCTTCAGCCAACAGTAATGGTTCTCATCTCTTGGTTTCACTTTTCCTCTGTGGTCTTAACTTCTCCTACACCTCATCTTCCATGCAGCTTGGTGGGCAGCCTCAGTCCTAGCTGCGAGATCCTCATATCCACACATCAATCCTGGCTTTGCTCAGCCCACGTGTTCATCCTCAAACCAATCCCTGGAGACAGAGATGAATAATCTGGCCAGCCTGACGAATGTGCCCTTTCGGGAAAGGAGTGTAAGCCACAGTGTGCGTAAAGCACGAAAAGAAGATACTCGCCCTGTCAGTTTTGTATATGTAACAATTGCTGCTACAGAAGAATTTATTCCTTCATTTCTATTTTCCAAATTTTATTCCAAAAAAGGGGGATGTGTGTGGAAGATTAAGATGTCCACAGAAAGTGACCCTCATCATTACAATAAAGTATTTAAACAGTAATGATAAAGACCCAATTCAGTATGTAATGTCCTAGTTTCCCACTGTACCAGTTAAAAAAAGTCAAAGCCTTCTTAGTTTGGAAGAGCAGGACAGCTTTTACACAGAAACGGTGCCCCAAATGAGTAACCGAATCTCTGATTTTGTCTATTTATCCTTTTCTTTCTGTTCTTTTTCTTTCTTCTCAGGCCCAGCTTTAGCTTCTTCTTCCTCATGTTTTTTGATCAACTGTTCAACTTCTTTTTGTTTGAGAACTTCTGATTACCATCTTTTCATTCTTTCTTGTTAGTGTTGCAATTTCCACTAAAAACAAACACATACGTTTACTTGTATTGCAGGCAGGCAGGCATACTTAGCAGAGAAACTTAACACTCAGTTTCTGCATTACATCATTTGAACCTTAGTTCAGCACTCTCCTATGTTTTAGGCTTAATGTTGTTATTATTCCCTTCTATGAGAACAAAATGCCTTTGATCTTGTAATGTTTTAATTACAATTTTTACTTAAATATCTTCACCTCACCGATTGCAACTTTCTTAGCAGCCATTTTGTCACTCCCTTAGAAAAAGCATAATTGAACGATTGCTATTGCTGGCCTGCTATTAGCTGGGCTGATCAGAAGGAACCACAATTTCAGAATCTTCAACTGGTAATAACATATTTTTATGGACTTTCAAGTCTTTAAAGAAAACAGGCTGGGTGCAGTGGCTCACACCTGTAATACCTGCAATTTGGGAGGCCAAGGCAGGTGGATCATGAGGTCAGGAGATTGAGGTCACCCTGTCTAACATGGTGAAACGCTGTCTCTACTAAAAATACAAAAAAAATTAGCTGGGCATGGTGGTGGGCACCTGTAGTCCCAGCTACTCAGGAGGCTGAGGCAGGCAGGAGAATTACTTGAACCTGGGAGACAGAGATTGCAGTGAACTGAGATCACGCCACTGCACTCCAGCCTGGGTGACAGAGTGAGACTGTCTCAAAAACAGAACAAAAAAAGGCATGAAATGGCCAAGAAAAGCAGACTAAAAGCCAAAGGGGAAGGAATTGTTTTGTACTAGGGAAATTGAGTAGTGTCTCCTTGAAATTGGGTGGAAGAAGACAACAGAGGGCAATCTGTATGTAAATGGCATTTTCTTTCTTTTTGTTTTTTTTTGTTGAGACAGAGTTTCGCTCTTGTTGCCCAGGCTGAAGTGCAGTGGCACAATCTTGGCTCACTGCAACTTCTGCCTCCCAGGTTCAAGCAATTCTCCTGCCTCAGCCTCCTGAATAGCTGGGATTACAGGCATGCACCACCATGCCTGGCTAATTTTTTGTATTTTTACTAGAGACGAGGTTTCACCATGTTGGCCAGGCTGGTCTCAAACTCCTGACCTCGGGTAATCCACCCACCTCCCACCTTCATCTCCCAAAGTTCTGGGGTTACAGGTGTTGGCCAGTGCACCTGGCCATAAGTGGCATTTTCTAAGGAACACCAGGAGCTAAACTGTCCTAATCTAAAGTGACATGTTAATTTACCATAATTTCTTAAAAACATTTAGAAATATTTTTTATTTTTGAGATGGAGTCTCTGTCACCCAGGCTGGAGTGCAGTGGCACAATCTCGACTCACTGTAGCCTCTACCTCTGCCTCCCAAGTTTAAGTGATTCTCCTGCCTCAGCCTCCCGAATAGCTGGGATTACAGGTGTGCACCACCAAGTCAGGCTAATTTTTGTATTTCAGAAGTAGAGACAGGGCTTCACCATGTTGGCCAGGCTGGTCTTGAACTCATGGCCTCAGGTGATCTGCCCACCTTGGCCTCCCAAAGTGTTGGAGTTACAGGAGTGAGCCACCATGCCCAGTTGAAATATTCTTTTTTTGAAACAGTTTCACTCTTGTTGCCTGCAATGTTGTGATCTTGTCTTGGCTCACTGCAACCTCCACCTTCCAGGTTCAAGTGATTCTCCTGCCTCAGCCTCCCAAGTAGCTGGGATTACAGGCACACGCTACCATGCTAACTTTTTGTACTTTTAGTAGACAGGGTTTCTCCATGTTTGTCAGGCTTGTCTCAAACTCCCAACCTGAGGTGATCTGCCCACCTCAGCCTCCCAAAGTACTGGGATTATAGGCATGAGCCACCGCACCTGGCCTGAAATCTTGAACAAAGTATTTGGAATTGCTAACATAAGCTTAAAATGAGATTAGTAGATTCAAAAGAATAAAGAGGGTATCACAACCCATGTAAATTTTGTATCTCTGTTAAAGAATACCAAACCTATGTAAAATATGTAACTACATGCATATGTTTTATCACACATACAAGCAAAGATATCACTGATGAGAAGATTTGATAACTTAACTAAAAGTAGCATGGTGCAGGATCTCTCTCTGTGAGTATTGAGAATGTGTCCACAATTTACCAATGTTGATCTCGGTCAACTCACTTACCTTCAGTAAGTCTTAGTGTCCTCAGTTAGAAGACAGGAATAACACTACCTAATTCATAGGGCGGCTGTTTCAATGAACTAGGATAACACATTAAAACCTAACTTACTCGGTCTAATGGAGTGAATTAAAGGAGAGAATATGAATTACCTTTCTCAGCAAACAGTTAACTAACATCCATGGTCTTATTTAGCACTTTGATAGCTAAAGCCAGTGCTGACTTCAACATCATTTCTCCTTCTTTGTAGTCTTGTTTCAACAATAATGTGGTTGCCTATAAAACATGAATCAACACAGAATTTTAAGTTTTTACATTTTTTAGAAACATGAATTGGTCTAGAAGAAAAATGCAGAGTGTGTGTGTGTGGTGAGGGGTGTGTGTCTTGTGTGAGGTTTGTGCACTGTAGAGTGTGTGGTGTGTCTTTGAGAGGTGTGTGCACTGTGGAGTGTGTTTAGTGTGTGCCTTTGAGAGGTGTGCATTGTGCAGTGTGGTTTGTGTGTGTCGATGTGAGGGGTATGCACTGTGTAGTGTGTGTGTGTGTCTTCCGTGGTGTGTGACGAGATGTGTGAGCACTGTGGTGTGTGTGTGTGTGGTCAGTGGTGTTAAGTCTGAGTTTTGAGGACTGTGGAGTGTGTGGAACGTGTCATGAGTGGCATGTGTCTGAGTAAGGGCTGTGTATTGTGGTGTGTGAAGTGTGTGTCGTGTGTGAGGTGTGTGCACTGTGAAGTGTGTGTGTGGTGAGTGGTCTGTGTAAGGTGTGTGCACTGCAGTGTGTGTCTGTGGTTAGTCTGGATCTTGTGAGGTGTCTGCATGGGGAGTGTGTGTGTGGTGAGTGGTGTCTGAGGTTTCACACTGTGCAATGTGTTTTGTGTGGTGTCTTTCTGCGTGAGATGTGTGCAATGTGGAAAGCGTGGTTGTGGTGAGTGGCGTTTTTCTATGTGAGGTATGTGCACTGTGGAGAGTGCGTGTGTGGTGAGTAGTGTGTGGCTTTGTGAGGTGTGTGCACTTGGAGCATGTTTGTGGTGAGTGGTGTGTCTTTGAAAAGTGTGTGCACTGTGGAGTGTGTTTAGTGGTATGTGTCTGTATAAGGTGTGTGCACTGTGCAGTGAGTGCGTGGTAAGTGGTGTGTGTCTGAGGCATGTGCACTTGGAGAGTGGTTGTGGTGAGTGGTGTGTGTCTTTGAGGTGTGTGCACTATGGAGTGTGTGTGGGGTGTGGTGCATAGTATGTGCCTGTGTGGAGTGTGCACTGTGCAGTTTGAGTATTGTGAAATGTGTGTTGTGTGTGGTGGTGTGTTTGCATGAGGTGTGTGCACTGTGGAGTGTGTGGTGAGTGGTGTGTGGGGGTGTGCACTGTGGTGTGAGTAGTGTATGTGGTGCATGGTGTGTGTGTGGTGTGTGCACTGTGGAGTTTGTGTTTACAGTGAGTGGTTAGTCTGTGTGAGGTATGTGCACTGTGGAGTGTGTGTGGTGCATGGTGGGTTCCTGTGTGGTGTGTGAACTGTGGAGTGTGTGAGTGGTGTGTCTGCCTGAAGTGTGTGCACTGTGAAGTGGGTATGTGGTGAGTGGTGTGTATCTTTGAGAGGTGGGTGCACTGTGAAGTGTGTGTTGTGTGCCTTTGAGAGGTGTGTGCACTCTGCAGTGTTTGGTGACGTGTGTCTTTTTGAGTGGTGTGAACAGTGGAGTATGTGTGTGGTGAGTTGTGTGTCTGTGTAGTGTGTGCACTGTGTAGTGTGTGTGTGGAATGTGTGGTGAGTGGAGTGGGTCTGTGAAAGCTGTGTGCACTGTGATGTGATGTGTGTCAAATGTGTTCACTTTGGAGTGTGTTTTTAAAGTGAGTTACATGGTGTGTCTGTGGGAAATGTTTGCTCTGGACTGTATGTAGTGCGTGGTGTGTGAGGTAAATGGTGTGGGTCTGTGAGGTGCATGCACAGTGGAGTGTTTGTGTGTGGTGAAGGGTGTGTGTGTCTGTGAGGTGTGTGCACTGTGAAATGTGTTGAGTGGTGTGCGTCTCTGAAGTGTGTGCACTCGAGTCAGTTTGGCGAGTGTTGTTTTTGTGAGGTGTGAACACTGTGGAGTGTGTGGTGCCCAGTGTGTCTGTGAGGTGTATACACTGTGGAGTGTGTGCAAATGGTGAGTGGTGTTTGTGTGAGGTGTGTGCACTGTGGAGTGTGTGTAGTGAGTGGTGTGTGTCTGTGTGAGGTGTGTACACTGTGGTGTGTGAGGAGTGTGAGCTGTGTGTACTGTGGAATGTGTCAGTGGTGAGTGGTGTGTGTCTGAGCTGTGTGCACTGGAGTGCGTGTGGTGAGTGGTGTGTACCTGTGTGAGGGATGTTCACTGTGGATTGTGATGAGTGGTGTGTGTCTGTGAGGTGTGTGCACTGTGAAGTGTGTGCAGTGGTGGTGTGAGGTGTGTAAACTGTGGAGTGTGTGTGGTGAGCAGTGTCTGTGAGCTGTCTGCAGTGTGGTGAGCGTGTGCCTGTGTGAGCGATGTTCACTGTGGATTGTGTGGTGAGTGGTGTGTGTCTATGTGAGGTGTGCAGTGTGGAGCCTGTTGTGTGTCTGTGAGATGTGTGTGGAGTGTGTGTGCTTTGGAGTGTTTTGAGTGGTGTGTGTGAGGTGTGTGTACTGTGGAGTGTGTGGGGAGTGTGGTGCAAAGTGTGTGTGAGGTGTGTACACTGGTGTGTAGAGTCTGGTGCATGGTGTGACTGTGTGACGTGTGCACTGTAGTGTGTGAGGTGTGCATTGTAAAGTGTATGTGCAAACTGTTGTGTGTAATGTGCTCATTTGAAATGTGTGTGCTGCAGTGTGTGGGTAATGAGTGGTGTGAACTGTTTTTGTTGTGAGGTCTGTTTCTGTGTGGTGTGTGCACTGGTGTGTGGTGAGTGGTGTGTCAGTGTGCTGTGCACTGTGGAATGTGTGCGTGGTGAGTGGTGCTTGTCTGCGTTATGTGTATCCATGGAGTGTGTGTGGTGAGCAGCGTGTCTGTGATGTGTGTGCACTGTGGTGTGAGTGGTGTGTCCCTGTGAGGTGTGTGCACTGTGGAGTGTTGAGTGGTGTGTCCCTGTGAGGTGTGTGCAATGTGAAGTGTGTGTGGTGAGTGGTGTGTCTGAGGTGTGTAAATGTGGTGTGTTGAGTGCCGTGTGCCTGTATGAGGTGTGCACTGTGGAGTGTGTGTGGTGAGTGGGTTGTTTCTGAGTGAGGTGTGTGCACTTTGGACTGTGGTGAGTGGTGTCTGTGTGGTGTGTGCACTGTGGAGTGTGTGCGTGGAGTATGGTGACTGCAGTCTGTGAAAGGTGTGTGCACTGTGTAGTGTATGTGGTGCGTCTGAGGTGTGTTCACAGTGGAGTGTCAAGTGTGTGTTGTGTGGTGTGTCTATGAGTTGTGTGCTCTGTGGAGTGTGTGCTGCATGGTGTGTATGAGGTGTGCACTGTGGAATGTGTGATGTGTCTGAGGGGTGTGCACTGTGTAGTGAGTGGTTTCTGACTGCAAGAGGTGTGAGCACTGTGAAGTGTTTGTGTGTGGTGTTAGTCTGAGGTTTGAGGACAGTGAAGTGTGTGTGGAGTGTGTGTTGAGTGGAATGTCTGTGTAAGGGCTGTGTATTGTGAAGTGTGTGGTGTGTGTGAAGTGTGTGCACTGTGGAATGTGTGGGGAGTGGTGTATGATGTGTATACACTGAAGTGTGTGTGGTACATGCTGTGTTCCTCTAAGGAGTGTGCACTGTGGAGTGTGTGGTTAGGTGTGTGCACTGTGGAGTGTGTTGAGTGGTGTGTATCTTTGAGAGATATTTGCACTGCGCAGTGTGTGGTGAGTGGTGTCTGAGGTGTGTGCACTGTGGAGTGTGGTGTGTAGTGTCAGTGTGTGTGTGCACTGTGGATTATGTGAAGAGTGTGTGGTGAGTGGAGTTTGTGAAAGGTCAGTGCACTGTGTAGTGTGTGTGATGTGTGGTTTGTGTCTGAGGTGCGTTCACTGTGGAGTGTGGTTTCATAATGCGTCTGTGAGGTGTCTGCTCTGTGGAGTGTGGTGCATGGCATGTCTATGAGGTGTGTGCACTGTGGAATGTGAGGTGAGTCATGTGTGAAGTATGCACTGTGGAGTGTATGATGAGTGGTGTGTCAGGAGTGTGCACTGTGGAGTGTGTGTGGTACATGGTGTGTTCCTCTGAGGAGTGTGCACTGTGAAGTGTGGTGAGTGGTGTCTGTGAGGTGTGTGCATTGTGGAATGTGTGGTTAGTGGAGTGTCAGAGGTGTGTGCACTGTGGAGTGTGTTGAGTGATGTGTATCTTTGAGAGGTATTTGCACTGTGCAGTGTGTTGAGTGATGTGTCTCTGTGAGGTGTGTGCACTGTGGAGTGTCTGGTGTGTAGTGTGCCTGTGTGTGCACTGTGGAGTGTGTGAAGTGTGGTGAGTGGAGTATGCGTAAGGCCACTGCACTGTGTAGTGTGTGTGTGGTTTGTGTGAGGTGTGTTCACTATGGAGTGTGGATTGTATTTCATGTGTGAGGGGTTCGCTCTGTGGAGTGTGGTGCATGGTGTGAGGTGTGTGCACTGTGGAGTTTGGGTGTGTGGAGTGGTGTGTGTTTGAGGTGTGTGCACTGTTGAGTGTGTGTTGAGTGGTGTGTCTGATAGCTATGTGCACTGTGCAGCGTGTGTGGTGTCTGTGTGAGGTGTGAACTGTGGAGTGTGTGCTGCTGTGAGTGGTGTGCATCTGTGTGAGTTGTATGCAATGTGTAGTGTGTGTTGTGTGGTATTTGTGATGCATGCAAAGTGTGTGTGGTGAGTGGTGTGTCTGTGTGGTGTGTGCACTGTGAAATGACGGTGTGTGGTGAGTTGTGTGTGAGGTGTGTGCACTGTGGTGTGTGTGTGTCTTTGAGAAGTGTGTGCACTGTGCAGTGTGTTTGATGAGTGGTGTGTCTGAGGTGTGTGCACTGTGGAGTGCACACACACTGGCATGTGTTGTGTGAAGTGTGTAATGCGAGGTGTGTTTCTTAGGTGTTGTGGAGTGTGTGTGGTGAGTGGTGTCTGATGTGTATGCTCTGTGGATTGTGTGGTGTGGGTGGTGAGGAATGTCTGAGAAGTATTTTGGAGTGCATGTGTGAACTGTGTGCAGTACATGGTTTGTTTCTGTGTGAAGTGCACTGTGGAGTGTGTTCAGTAGTGTGTATCTTTGATAGGTATGTGCACTGTGCAGTGTGTGTGTAGTGAGTGGCATGGGTCTGTGAGAGGTGTGCACTAAGAAATGTGTGTGGTGAGTAGTGTCTGCATGTGTGCATTATGAA